TAGTATGAAAGTATGACTAATAGTCAGTTACTGCAACGTATTCAGCATTCACATATTTACACGTGCCTGGTTGTCTACACAACGTAGCGTTTGATATTTTTTTCACAGTATGATTCTACGCATACGTGTTTCGCTATGTTATTAGTTATTACTATGTAAATAGTGGTAAGCAGTACGTAAGTATTGGATGCGAGCATGGTTAGGTTGCTTATATATGACACGAGCTATACATACATACAGTCTATCTTGAATCTTGGCTTATGATCCGTTAGGACTCTTCATGGATTGCTGTCTTATCGTAGCCATCAAGCGATCTTGTGATCTAGACATCATGGTTTTTATTTTTATTGTATACCACGTCGAAAAAATTATGATCCTGAAGTTTTATATTATAAAATCAGGGTTAAATGTGTTAAATGTGTTATGATGAACGGTCAACTTTATCGAAAAATTTAGATACTTTACATCGAAGAAAAATCCATTGATATTATCGATACGATATTATGTAGCTTCCATCAAATCGATGTTTTTCATTTAAATGTAATCATTACAATAAGTAATTAGGTATTAATCAATGTATTGCTGTGACATTTAATTTTTGATAAACTGAATTCCATAACTTAATGCGCTAAATTGCATAACGTTAATAATCTATACATCTATACACAGTGGTTTCGAAATAACATGTCTTTTATTTTTGTGGATCATTTAGTGGACGTTAGGTTCGAGCTAAAATAAAAGGTTTGTAAAAATTGCGGCACTATTTACGGTACAGATGCGGATAATAACTAATTACGGACAATTTAGTACAGACTCATACGTTTTGTAAACATTAAGTTTAATTTTATTAATTATATAAGTTAAATACATTACCGTTCACTTTCAGCGAAAAAAAATCTACCTATATAAATGTATTAGGTTTACAAAACATGTATAAATTTAAAATAGAATTAACTAATAGAATTTTAAAAATCAAAATAACATGAAACATAGATGAAAACATATAATATTTTTTTAATATCGTTCAGATATATATATATAAAATTATTTCTATATAACATTAAAACTACAAAACATAAACGTAAAACTGAACCACGACAGTAAAATGCACTATACGATTAGTAGTTAAAAATTATAAACTTTGTTATATAACAAAAATAATAAGGAAGACATATACAATATTTTATGACAAAAATCGTCGTCTAATTATCTAATATAGTCGTAAGATAAAAATTACTATTTTAAAACTTATTTTTGACGTATAGGATATAAGACATTTAAATTATTTGCCTTTGAACTACAATTATATTAATATTTTTCATATTTTTATATTACATTTTATAATTGTTTTTTTATTTCTTTAGCATCAGTTAATAAATCGAATCACATACAATTTATTACACAAAAATTGATGAAATGAAAAGACTGAAATAATTATTCTTATACACATATTACACAAATATAAAAAAAAAAAAAAAACAACGATTATTCGATAGCGTAGATATATAATAATATATTAACGTACGGATACCGTTAATTTTTCTACTTAATACTCTATATGGTTGAAATAGGAATAAAAAACTATTCCGTTCAATAATCATACCACAAATACATTATAAGTAATTAGTTAAATACCCAGGAATTAGTGAAAGTATAATTTGTTTTCTTATCGATAGAAATACATATAGCCCATGTATTATTTATAGTTAAATATGTAGTATTAAACCTATTGTACCTGGTGCTATGTTTATTTAATAGGTACAAATTTAGTTTTATTTTACAGATTAAAATACAAATTTATCGTTAAAAGTTTTACATTATTTTTGTTGTGTTTTATCTTGTTTTTTTTTTTCGTTTCGTTCATTTTGAAGTGCATTCAGTGTAATATTTTGACAAATATTGTGTACATCACGTTATGAACACGTATATTATCGTTTTAATTTATTATTATTATCGATTTGTTCATTTTTTTTTTTACCATGCACTCCTGGCAGCGAGTATATTTATTATCGAGTATAACGGTAGTTAACAGTATGTTAGTTGTCGGCGTTGTTGTTTTTTTTTTTTTTTTAGCGCGTTTGCATTCGTGCTTTATTCGCGAATGGTATAATTTTGCGGGCGATTACCCATCCGAGAGCTGAAGGCGCCGGGCGGGCGCACCTCAATCGCAACGTTGACGATTAAGGCCCTCCGCACACGGTAAAATTGTTTTGCAACGAGAATCTCAGATCGGTCTCGCTGGCGACTGTTGTGCAATCGGTTCGCAATCGATTCATATCTGCTCTCCGCACACGAGTCGATCGAATTTCGGCCAGTGTACGCTAGTTGTATGCGAATTGATGTTTAGGAAACCTGTCACGCGCCATGCTTTTCCTGTCGGGCATTTTCTTGGATATCTAGGAAGATTACAGGTTAGGTTAGGTCCAACTGCTCGCGCAACCGATTTGGGATTCTCGTCGCAAAACGGTGTTACCGCGTGCGGATGGCCGAACGTTATACCGTCGATATGGACGCGCGCGCGTGCACCGCACAGCGAACAACTCGGGTAAAATTAAGTTAATTTTTATTTATTTATTTATTTTTTCTCTCCGATGTTTTACAGCTACGTTTTACGCGATACGGTCTTTGGGTGACGCGCGACTAGAACGACAACGGTTTGCAGTAGAAACCCTATACGTAACATTGGCCAGATGCGCGATACTAGTAACGAGCGCGGCCGCGTGTGTAGCGATTTCATGCGTTTTTCGTTCGTCGTCGAAGACACGCGATAACCGTACGAGAACATGGGTGGACAGCGTGATCTGTTTAAACGTTGTACGTTGTCGTTTACTGTACGTGCAGTATCCGTACCGTACACGTGACGTACACGTACGTGTAACGTACCTACGTGCACGGGCGAGAGTTTGACGTTTGACGACGGGAACGAAACGTACGCGGACTTCGAGGAACACACGTGCGTGTCGTTGCGGTCGGACCTAACCTAACTTAACCTAACAATAAGTAGCTGAAAATCTAGACGAACCGAACGCGTATTACTGTTAAAGAATACGCGCGCGAAACGTATTCGTACTGCGCCGCTGCTGCAAATGTGTAACACGATCGTGCTTCAACGTAACAGTGTGCTAACCTAACCGAAATCGAACGCGAAACACATTTCCATAACGTTGCTATTGTTATTTCCTTCACGGTCGTAGGCACCTCTATTGATGAACGCAACACAGAAATGATCTCGGCAACACGTAACGTTACGTGGTACATAAAATGTTTTACGCGACGAAGTCGCAATGCGCTTTATCCGTAAAACCCTATCAGTGGCGTAGATACAATTTTTTTCTGGGGGGGGGGTGATTAAGAGTAAGTTTTTAAATGTTCTTAGTATATCATAAAACGAGGTCATATGTAATAATATTACATTTAAAATGGTATTATATATATATATAT